GAGTTCAATTATGAATCAGGAATGTAACACAAATAGTTTAAAAATCCTTATGACTAATAATCAGTGTCATGTGAACTCTCTCAGTTAAAATAACATTTGAGACAGGGTGCATAGCAACATTTACTTGTTTTAAAATCAGGAGCAGATAACATCACATCTGCATTGTTTTGTGGGTCTGTCCTCTACCATACTACTGAGTGGTCACATATTTTGAGGCCAACTTCCTGTACTGAAAAACAAACTGGACAACATTTGATCAGATTTTCTTTCTAGCAAGAATACATAGTGCTGGGAAGTAAGGGTTATTAAAATAATGTTAAATTATGTAATGCCCGGAACAATTACATATTTTTTCTGAATGGCAAAGAAAGGAAGTGGGTGAGGTAAGGGCATGTCCTTGGCTTTGTGCCTGTCATCTAAGGTTGCTGTCCCAGCAAGCTCCTTTGAATTAAATAGATTTACATCCAAGTAAACATGATGGGATCTAGCTGTAACACAATAAAGTGTATTCAGCTACTGAATACTGCTGATGTTGGAAAGTTCTTTTGGACGTGGTATCAAACATTTGGTAGGGTTGGAAAACAAAGAACCGTGAATCTGCCCTGCATGCAGAAATGACTGAACTAGGACTGCATCCATAGACGGATGATTCTGGTTGTTGGTTTTTTTGCTGCCAAGGTAGATGCACTTGCACTGTTAATGGAATATCTACATGAGTTTTGTGCAGATTACTCCATCAGCCACCATTCTTTGCATACTCACCTGCTGTGTTACCAGTAGGCTTTCCCCATATTTTTGTAAAAAATCAGTAACTCTTATGGTGCTATAGCACTCTTACATTATAACAATCCATTGCTATAATTAACTAGTAGTTCCTCTGAATCCATAGCTTTGCTTACTCCTGTTGTTGCACAGATATATGGCAAAGAACACTGGTGCTGATGTAGGTGGGATTTAAAAATGCACATCTTTTCATCTACACAGTATGACAATGTGCTATAACCGTGATCTTTCCAACCAGATCATACCAGACTAGGGCCCCGGTCACACGGGCAGGAAAATGTGTGTGTTGGGGAAGCGTGGCTGTTTGCCCCAGGGCAAAATAACATGTGGTTGCGTGATCAGACGTCCCACAGAGGTCCCGTCCAGGTCCCGTGGTTAGGGTGGAGGTGCCGATCACAGGACAATCCTGCGGCGCGGCAAAGAAGCGGCCTCTCTAGCAAAAGGCTCCGTGGGTTTAACCCCTTCCAGGGCTCCAGAGGAATGCAAACTGTCCTCCGTCCGGTCCCCTCCAAGAGGAGCTTCAGCCAGGCCGCCCTCCCACCATGCCCCCCTCTGCTGCCCGGTGCAGAGAGTTCCTCTCGAGCAGGCCGAGCCAGGAGTGGGGGGGGGTACGGAAAAGAGGAGGGGGCTGTGGAAGTGTGCGCATGCACCGTTGGGTGCTTGTGCGCATCCCATGGAGACTTGAAAAACAAAACCTTTTAGCGACAGGACATGGGCGTGCGCCGGATGCCACGACCTACCACTGGAAACCCGATCAGGTGCCCGCCCTTGCCCCGCGGTTCCCGGAAACTAGTACCTCGGTGGTACTAGTTTGTTACCCCACATCTTCGACAGGAAGCCTCGGGTTCGCCACGGGAGCTCTACGCTTCCCAGATGTGGCGCTGTGATCGCGCCCGGAAAATCCGCCTATCTTCCGTTTCTGTAGCGTGGCTAATGCTCCATGTGACCGCAGCCTAGGTTTGGGAAAGATTAGAGTGAAGCGGGGGGAAACATGGATAGCTAGTACTGCCAATCTCCAGGTGTTGCCTGGAGATCTCCAGGTAGTACAACTGATCTCCAAACAACACAAATCAATTTCCTAGGGGGGAAAATGGCTGCTTTGGAGGGTGGACTCTATGGCATTGTATACCAGTGAGAACTGCCCCCTCCCCAAATCTCACCTTCCCCAAAATTTCCATGTATTTCCCAACCCACAGGTGAAAATCCCATTGGATAGTGGATTATTACAAATACTCCCCCCCCCAAAATCCTTCTCCATTTTAGATAGATCAACCAGAGCAAAACATCCCTGTGGAAGCAACCCAGGTGTAGTGCTGCCATGTGGCACTTTACAGCATCCCGTTCCCCAGAATCCTTTGAATACATATGCTTTAGGACTAAATCAGTAGATTTTATTTGAGGGTATGTGGAAGAAAGCGGTGTTGAAGGGTACATTTCCTCTCTCAGCATCCAACACTGACCTATGTTAGTGTACCGTTACCAATTAGATATGAGTCCAGTAGCACCTTAGAAACCAACAAGATTTTCAGGGTATAAGCTTTCAACAGCCAGAGCTTATACCCTGTAAATCCTGTTGGTCTCTAAGGTGCTATTGAACTGGAATCAAAGTGTTCTACTGCAGAACCACAGGGCTACCTCTGAAATGATCAGCAATGCTAATATTTAATACTAGCCTTCCTTACAGGTAAGGACTGCTTGCAAATAAACAATATTATAGATACAGCACAGCCTGAGCCGGGGTGGGTCGAGGGTATGGATCCCACTCCTGACCCTCGATGGGGTTCTGTTGGTGCCAGTGCTGGAGGTGAATAGTTTGGGAGTGCTCCTGGATGCTTCCTTTACAATGCATGCCTAGGTAGCAGCCACTGCCAAGTCAGCCTTTTATCATCTCCGGCTGATCAGGCAGTTGGTTCCTCGAATGCAACAACCTGGCAACAGTGAAAAATGCGATGGCCACCTCGAGACTAAACTACTGTAATACTCTCTACATGGGGCTGCCCTTGTTGCAGACCCAGAAGCTACAGCTAGTGCAAAATGTGGCGGCCAGGCTTTTGATGGGTCTCCCTATTCAGGAGCACATCCAGCCTGTGTTGAAAGCATTGCACTGGCTACCAATAGCATACCGAATCTGCTTCAAGGTGCTGGTTCTTACCTTTAAAGCCCTCAATGGTCAGTGCCTGACATACCTGAGGGACTGCATTTCCCATCACATTCCCCAGAGAGCACTGCAGTCAGGGTCCCAAAATCGACTGACCCTCCCAGGACCTAAAGACACCAGGCTGGCTATAACTAGGGCCAGGGCCTTTTTGGTGGCAGCTCCATGCTGGTCAATAAGCTGCTGGAAGAGATCAGGGCCCTGTGGGACCTTATGCAGTTCCGCAGGGCCTGCAAGACTGAGCTCTTCCACCAGGCCAACTAGGAGCTGCCCCCCCCCAGTAATTAATTGTGAGCCCTTCCCTTCGGAGTCATCAACAGCCTGAGCTGGCCACATAAGAAGAAACATAAGGAGGAGCTGATCAATAGGATAGAACATCAACTTGTTGCCACCATCGCCAAACATTGTCTAATGATTTTTCTAGCACTTTACAGTATCTGGATTGTTCTTAGAAGGTTTTATGATCATTTTAATGGCTATTTATGTGTTTTAATTTCTGTAAGCGGCCCTGAACCTGCTTTGGCAGGGAGGGCAGGATATAAATTTGATAAATAAATGAATAAATAGCACAGAAGTATTTAGATAGCAAATCTCAGTAAGTAAATGGAAAACTGTGAGGCTTCCCCAGAATCTAAATGTCGCTCTTCTGGCTGCATTAGAATGAAGTCCCTCTGTGCACTATCTAAACTTGAAAGCCAACCACATCTCCCCTCTGTGGCGTGTGTCTCTCTCTGTGGGTGAGAGGCAGAAACTCCGCCTTCTTCCGTTTCTTCCATTCTTAATAAGCAATATCATTGATGGAGCCCGATCTCTATTTTGCAGCAGTGAAAGAGTTAAAGTGTTACCCGCGAGGATTTTTTGAAGTCCTACGCTGGAAAGTTCCATTTGCATTACCGGGGAAGTGAAGGTTTAAACAAAATGGGTTGTTCCGTTCTCAGTGGTATCCCAAACCGTGGCGCTTTATTGTTCATTCACAAAGGATAGTTTTAATCATTAATGGGCACGATAAAGTTACATACATTTTTAAGGGTTTTTTGTTTGTTTATTTAGGGGGGTAGGGATTCTACATTTGTCGAGGGCGGGTTTTCTAAACCGTTGGGGAGGTGCGGCTCCTTTAAGGTGTCCCGAGGCGGCATCAGACCTGCAGCAGCAACCGGGGGCAGAAGGCGCTCGACCGCCTGCCACCGTGACGCCAGAAACTTCAGGGGCTGCTGAAATCTCGGCAGAGAGGGAGGTTTCCACTTTGCAGCTCTTCGGGAAGGTGGCGAAGAGCTTCACCCTTTCTCCACCAGGGGCTGGCTGGAGGCGGCGGCCCTTGGAAGTTTTGCGCGCACTCCCACGTAGTCCTCTTTCTCTTTTGTGTCCAGTCCATCCCTGGTTTGGGGAAGGGAAGCCCTCGCTTCGCAGGGCGCCAAGGACAGATGCTGGCCGCTTCGAGGAGCTGCCGGGGCTCCCCTGTCGCCGCCGCACTGCCTCGGCTCGTGGTCCCAACTCTGTTCCCCAAGTGATGAGACCCAGGGCGGCTGCTGCTGCTGCTGCTCCTCCTCCCGCACAGCCACTTCTGTCTGCCTTGTGCTCGCCCAGCGGTAGTGCAAGCAAACCCTCGCCTCGAGCAGCCGCCGTCGGCCCGTCTACGCAGCTCTCCGCCTGAGTTCTCCGCTGGCGGCGGCAACAGCGGTAGCACTTTCTCCACTTCGCGGAAAGGGCCGGGCGTGTGTGAGTGGCGGAGCTCTTCCCCCCTTTCTCGAGGAAGCGGGCAGCTTTTGTTTCTGGCTCGCTGACGGATGGTCCGCGCTGGGGCCAGAGATCGCCCTTTGGGATCCCCCGGGGCAAGAGAAAAGCCCAGCCTGAACCTTCCCTGGTCCTGACAATAGAGGCTGTGGGCGAAGAGCGAGGGCGACCCTCCACCCAACTCTCGGAGGATTTAGGAGCCGGCGCTGAATATTACGCTTCTCGTGGATTTACAAATTGGGAAGCGTTGGAGGCTTTTTGGAGAAAGTCCTCCCCCTCCCCCTCCTCTGCTAGCCCTCCCTTTTGGCATGAGACTATCGACAGGCTCCACCTGGAGACAATGATCGCGGAGTTTGCTCACTTCTTTCTCTTTGGATTAATATGTCTCTCGTCAGGTAATCGCTGCTGTCCCCACTTTTGTCGTGCTTGTTGTTCTCCAGAAAAAGAGCGGATTGCTCCCCCCCCCCCCCCCCCCCACGGGGCGGGATTGTCGTGCCCCCCCCCCCCCCCCCCGAATTCAGGGCAGGATCTAGGCACTCTTGATTCCTACTGATTTTAATAGGGGAAAACAACTAAGCATGTGCTTAATTCCTGTCGCTTAACAAGAAGACTCCAAAGTGCTTAATTTTAACTGGATCCTGCTTTCTGCTTGTCCAGAAGTGTGAGTGACTGCTCAGTCCTTGAAGATGCTCTACGGTTTTCTCTACTTCTTGACCTCCTCTGCTCCCTTCTTATCCCACCCTTCCCCATTCAGTTTCTTTCTGCCTCTTCCAGTGGTTTTCAGTGTGTTGGTGGTGCATCTGAATTGTTTTTTTGAAGACTACTTACTAGCCTTGAGTTTATGGAGGAGTGTGCATGGTTTGCATCCACAGTTTTGAGAAAGAAAAGCAGGCGTATTAGTCCCCAAGGACTTCTATGGCAGCGACCTAGAGATGCTTCTGTACCGGGTAGTCCACCTCTAGATCTTGAACACAAGATGCCGAAGAATGTAATATTTCTGTGGCCTAATTGCACACACTTGAGAATATAAGCCTAGGATTTTAGGCTCAGTCACTTGTGGATCTCTCTGTGTGTGACTCTGCTGTATAAGCTGTTCTCCCACATGTTCTCTGTTTGTGTTAGCCATCCTAGTCCACAACAAGAGGGGCCATTAGTACTTGTTTGATGTAACTGAGGGCTGTAATTAAAACTGATCATAAAGAAACTGCAGGAAACAACTTCTTACCATGGGATGTGAGTAGTTTCTTCTGGATTTCTTTTGAAGTAGAAAGTTTAAAGGCGGGGGAAGGGGGGTCACAGGTATTGGCAAGGAGGTTAGGGCATACTCAATGTGTGTGTTTATTGATTTGCTCATGTAGTATCAAATTCTTACCCTTATAAAAGGATAACTGCCCACTGTTCAGGATATTTACATGGAAATAAATCTCCATGGAATTGATTTCAGTGGAGTTTACTTCTAAATAAACGCTGGATGATTCACTCTAAGTAGTTTTCTTAGATTTAAATTCCATTTAAATAAATGAGAATTCCAAGTAAGATGCCTACTGATCAGGGTGCAAGGCTTCTTTTACAGTTGCTAAACCTTCTGTTCTGAACTCAAGTATATAGTTATTTGACTCTCTGTTGCCTGAGTTAATTATGCATGGAAGTAAGCCCTTTTGAGTTTACAGTACATAGGATTGCAGCCTTAAGTGGATAATTTCCTGATCTGAAACAGTTTTTAATACTCCCTGCCTCAACTAGCCAGTGGGGTCCTCCCTTTGCTCGACTTCCTTCAGCAAGTTTGAGCAAGTTACAGTCAATTTGCAACCTTCAAACAATAGATGAAGTGGATTATAGATCTGGGCAGTAGCTGCATTTAAAATGCACTTTTTACATACAAGTATTCATTATAGTGAAACTAAGCAGTGGCTGTTTCAGTAAATAATTACATGTTTGCCATTTCTATAAAATAACCTTAAATTGGTCAGCAAGTTCTGGTAGCCTGACACATGTGCTAAACTGTTTAGTCTGAGTGCATAAAATGGTTACAATTCCATGAAAACTGTTCCCTTTATCAGAGGTGACATGAGAACAATCTGGAGAGGAAAATGAGCTACTTCCCAGGTACTGGAGTAGCAAATAAGCCACAAGGTGAAGGTTACTTGGTGGTAAGGCAGTTGACTGCTATGGGAATAGGACAGGACATGGGTTTAAACCTGAATCTGTTTCTAGTTCTTCTTCAGTTCTCTGAGTATTACCACCATCTCAAGCAGTTTCCATTATTTCATGGAGAGCACTTTAGCAAAGTGGGATGCAAATCACAGTCACTGTGTTAGCAAATTGTCCCTGTTGTTTTTCTTACCAATCCACTTGTGCCTGCTGTAATTTATAGCCCAAAGTTCCTTTGTGATTATTTTTTATTCACTTTCCCCTGTTAAAGTTTATTCACAGATGTAAAGTGAACTGTCAAGTGTGATAAATGGAGGAAGGAGAGATCATTCAAGAGATAGCGGAATTATTGGTCATTAGTCATTGTTTGAGCTGAGTTTATAAGTGTTGGAAAGTTCTCCCATGGCTGTAAATGGTGGCACGCTTGATCTAAAAAATTTATGGTTCTGAATATTCCTTAATAAGTGTTTTGTCTTTAAGGTGCATTGGGGGGTGTCTTTGTTTTTGCTACCTTTTCTTTAACATGTCTTATTTTCAACTATTAAGTATATTTTCTCTCTTTTGATCTTATTACAAGTTTAAACACATCTCCTTTGCGAACCATTCTTCTTCAGTACTGAGTGGACCTTTCCTGGTTATTTTAAAGGAAGGTTCTGTAAGGAGATGTTAGAAGTATAGTGTCGACTTTTTTTAAAAAAATGTGAACTTTCAGAGTCTTCTACCTATTCCATTCCACCCTAAGCTGCTTTTGAAATTTTTATAGTTGTGCCATCAAAGTTATTAAAGTTCTGGAGATGCAAGATGTCAGATTATTGAATGAATTAAGTTCTGAAAAGATAACAGAGGTTGCATGAAAACAAAGACAAATTAAAAAGCATTTGCTTTTGTCAGCGTCTTGACATGTTGTTATTAAGTTGTTGCTTAAGCATTATGTTTCAGTTATTTGGCAAAGGAGTGTATATCTCATTCAGAAGTGCACGTGTATCCACTGTCCTTTTGGTACAAATTTGTGATTGACGTTGTTAGCTATAATTGTTATTGTAGTGAATGCTAAATCTTTCTAATGCTTCTGAAAACTGTTTAATCCATGAATATTTTTACTTGTGCTCTTATTTTGGAATTAAAGGTTTCGTTCATTGTATTACTTGGAAAATGAAATGTTTACATTTGGTTCTTGCAGTGAAGGCTTTTTTGTGTTATAAGGAATTTAGTCAGAAATAGATATATTCTTTTATTTAAAAAATGCCTATCTTCTTCTGTCTTGCTGTGCTCCAAAACATTGCTTGTGTAGCTGATTCCAGTGAGAGTAATATAGTGGTTGACAATATGAGCCAGGAAGTGCAAATATCACCCAGGCCAAAATCCACTTGTTGGCCTTAGAACAAGCATCTGAGGTTGTACTTCGAAGGACAGATTAGCACTCAAGAGAAGGGCTTCTTAAATGCGTTCCTTAAGATTCAAAAATCATCATACTGCAACCCCCATGGAAACAAAGATATGAATGTCATACACTTGGTCGTTCTTAGAGGACTGTTGTTCACTGAGGTAATACAGATGAAATGCTTTGAATACTTATAATGCTAGGTGGTATTACTACTGTTGCCCTGACCTGGATGGCCTGGGCTAGCCTGATCTCATCAGATCTCAGAAACTAAGCAGGGTTGGCCCTGGGTAGTATTTGGATGGGAGACCACCAAGGCATTCCAAGGTTGATGTTGGGAGACCACCAAGGCATTCCAAGGTTGGTGTGCAGAGGAAGGCACAGGCAAACCAGCTCTGTTAGTCTCTTGCCTTGACCCTTGTTTGATTGGCCTTAAGGCAAGGGTGGTTTCCCCCCCTACCTTGTACAGCAGGTCAGAGGGTTGGGGAATTGACTCCGGGTGGCACCGTTTAAGCAGGCTGGTCACTTTATGTTAGTGGGATTGTGTTGGAGGTTTTTTCTGAGCAGCCAGGGGAGCACTAGTTAGCACCCCCATTTTGGGGTAGGTGTCTGGCAGAGTCAGCTCCTTAGATTCTGCGACCCAGGGTCAGGAATGCAGACTGTCTTGGGCATGCCTGGATTTATCCTCCATTTAAGTTGTGCAGCTTGGTGGTTGGCTCTCTAGGGCATGGCCCTCTTGTTGTGCCGGACTGGTTCTAGCCATACCTGTTGGTTGGAGTGGGGGCAGGGTGGCTTGCCCACTATTCAATGGGGGAGGGGTCTTGGATGAGCCCTGGCCTTGATCGTGTCACTAGTTATTTTGCCCTTGCCATTATAAAGTTAAAATAAAGTGGCCCATAGTTTCTCCAATCTCTTTGTGTCTGGTGGGGCAATATTACTATTATTCTGTCATGCTGTGGATACCAAAGCTGAAGTGGTAAAAATCTTTCTAAGCAGTTCAGCACATTTTCATGTTGCTGAAGTCATCCCACTACAAGGCCTCCTGGGACCAGTTTCATGTAAATTAGGCTCATTTCCTGAATAGTAACTTCATAATCCAGTTTTATATTTACACATTGTCTGTTTTGAGGACAGAGTAAGAGATACATTAACTCAGGGCTTGAGAAATCTCAGATCACCATGGCACCTAGAAATTTCACTGTGGCACCTAATATTTTTAGCAATTCTTTTATTGTGGAAAGTCTCCATTTGAAGTATAAAGTTCATCATTCCACATCAGAATGTGTTCTGTTATATGGCATAAAAATATGTGTGAAGTTCTTGTCATTGTTGGTTTATGTGTTAACTTTACACCATTCAGTGGTAGTGAATAAATGTATTTCTTAACCAGATGCTTTCTATACTGGCTCCAATATTCAGTGATGGAATTATCAATAATAGGAAAGAAGTTAGGCTAGGTATAGGGGGTTAGATTTTTCTTGTAGTGATGACAACCAGGACTTTCCCTATATTTATATACAACAATTTTGTTATAGAATTAATTAAATTACAAGAAACTGTGAAGCAGTTAGGATTAGGTTTTGTGGTATCAGTAATTAGAAAATATGGTAATTAAGGTATTAAACTCTGAACACTAAAAAATTGGTCTACCTCCTGAATTTTGGGATGGTTCTTAGAGCTGAAGAAAATTTGTCAAGGCCTGCAGTAACTTCCCCCCAACAACAACAAAAAGAGCAGAGATACTTTGGGCTTCCAACAATCCAGACCACTGTGTGTGTGAAATAGTTCTTAATTGGCAGTTTATTCACTAGAAGGCCAAGCTGATCCAAATATTCTCTTGGAAAGTCATTTGTAGATTAATAG